ACTTCAAAAAAGAAAGCGACTGAGATTGATGTGTCATGAAACAAGAGGTAGAAGTGCAAAAAGGCTTAAGGGAGAAAAAGAAAAGGTTGTAGAACAAAACCAAAAAAAGAAGAGATTATGTAGAGGTTGTGGTGAATTGAGTCATCATGATATTAGAAATTGTCCAAAAAAAGTGTAATGGTACTTTTATATACATATAAGATTTTGTTGAATTTTTATATTTAATAATATATTATTAATTTTGTACTAATCATAGTTTAATGCTTTGCAATATTGTTGAATTGAAAATAGAACATATTCAAATGAGTGACTAAATATTTGTTCATTTCTCAAATGAGCAATAATTCCTTGCTCATTTATCAAATGAGAAAATAGTTAACTACTCATTTTGTCAAATGAGCAAATAATTATTTGCTCATTTGGCAAGTGAGCAAATTAGCTATTATATGAACTTGGAACAATTGCACTCCTGTTTCATCTCCCAGTCCAAAATCAGCCCTCTTCGGGTCAAATGAGAAAACATATCTTTTCTCAATCATCAAATGAGCAAGTAATTTCTTGCTCATTTAGCAAATAATTAAAAAGGTAAAAGCTCATTTCTTAAATGAGCAAAAATAGTTGCTCATTTGTGAAATGAGCAAACATTTCTTTACTCATTTATCAAATGAGCAAGAAATTCTTTGAACATTTATCAAACTAGTTTTGTGCTCGTGCGATGCCCGGGTTGTTTATTAAATTTTAAGATATATTTTAATCTATATGTCAAATTTTAAAATATATCATTGATACAAAATTAGTTAGGAATTGACGTATTTTTGTAACGATTTAAACTTGTAGACATGTAATGACTAATAATAATAATAATAATAATAATAATAATAATAATAATAATAATAATAATAATAATAATAATAATGGTGAAAAACATTTCTTGACCCTGTCTGAAATGACTCGTGACCCGACCTGATTAACAGGTCTACACACAATAATAAAATTATATTAGATTGTGAAGTATATTATTTTAATTGATTAGAATATATTATAACCTATGGATGTGGTACATTTTAAACTAATTCCTTCGCTCTAAAAAAATATTATGATACAAAAAATAAATTTATATGATAATTTATGAGAGTTATAATTTAATTATTTTTTGAATAAAATTATAATTCAATTTGTACATATGAAATATTGATATTTTATCAAAAATAAAACTCTAAATTAACATTTTTATCCTAAAATTATATCCAAAGTTGACTGAAAATAAAATTCTAAACTTATTTTTTTATCCTACAAATTGAATTTTATATAACTCTATCCTACGTGGCACGACACTTGGAAAAAAGTTGGAACGCCAAGTGTCGCTGTCTCGTCACCTGGCTAAAAGTTTAGCTTTATATATTAGTTATATGATGAGCAAGAATTCATTGATCTATCATTTAATGAGCAAACATCTGTTTGCTCATTTAACAAATGAACGAATATTTCAAATGAACACTGGCTGTATATAACAATGTATGTGAAGTAAAAACAAATAAAAGATTGAATTTTAATTCAAATATAATCATCACTATAGTAAAAAAGGGTAGGCTTCTGTTGGTAAAATCTGTTTATAAATCAGTTTTACATAATTCAAAGACTACTTAAAAGTAGATAAAATCTTAATTTACCCAATTCCCTAAACCAAAAAAGACAAATCATCACTACTAACTATTTAATTCCCTAACATTCAGCTTTCTTCAATCTTTTGCTCTTTCTTCCTTGAACTTTTTCTTCTTCGGGCTCTTCTTTTTCAGCATTTTCATCTTTGTCAGCAACAAAAACTTTACTTTGCTTTTTCTTCTTCTGAGCAATTTCTTTAACAGATTGAATAGTGTTCACTTCACTTGTAATTATTCCCAGGGTGTACTTTTCACGAAGTTTAGCCAAGATTATCAGCTGCAAAACAAATAACATAATCAAACCCTATACAATTTAGGAGATTTCAATAACATGAGCAAACATGTAAAAGTAACACCACAAGTTGCAATTGTAACTTGTAAGGCAATGGCCTACGGTATTGCTAGATTAATGGACCATAGACCTCAAAATTAAAGTAAACATTTGATAGGAATCCTTGCTCATTTATGAAATGAACAAGTAAATCCTTGCTCATTTTTCAAATGAGCAAACATTTCTTTGCTCATTTTTCAAATGAGCAAACATTTCTTTGCTCATTTGATAAATGAGCAAGTAATTTCTAGCTTCTCATTTAGCAAATAATCAAAAAGTTAATTGCTCATTTCTTAAATGAGCAAAGAATTAGTTGCTCATTTGTGAAATGAGCAAACATTTCTTTGTTCATTTATGAAATGAACAAGTAAATCCTTGCTCATTTGTCAAATTAGCAAACATTTCTTTGCTCATTTGTCAAATTAGCAAACATTTCTTTGCTCATTTGATAAATGAGCAAGTAATTTTTTGCTCATTTAGCAAATAATCAAAAAGTTAATTGCTCATTTCTTAAATGAGCAAAGAATTAGTTGCTCATTTGTGAATGAGCAAACATTTCTTTGTTCATTTATGAAATGAACAAGTAAGCAAATAGGCCAAAACATCTTATTATTAATGAGACTAATCTGAAAGTCTTACATTATTTTTCTTCAAACTAGGATCCCACTTTGCAATTCATTGCTGGATTTCATCTCCACTACATTAATCATTTATTTTTCTTTCTTTAATGTGTCCTTTAAAACCATTTTTCCTTTTTCATTAGAAGATCCTGTCTTGAAACTCATTCCTTTATATTGTGGCTGTGTAGAACGACCAACAACTCCTAATTGTGCTGGCCCTGCTGCATCTTCGTCACCACCAACAACTCCTAACTGTAATGCCCTTGCTGCATCTTGGTCACCACCAACTCTTAACTGTGCTGCCCCTGCTGCATCTTGGTCACCACCAATAACTCTTAACTGTCCTGCCCCTGCTGCATCTCGCTCACCAACATTAACAGCAAAATCTGTCTCAACAGATGTCCTGCTCAACAAAATAGGTATCCTTGATGTCAAATTAGCAAATACTTAGCTACTAATTTAACAAAATCAACAAAAACTTAAATGCTCATTTCTTAAATGAGCAAATAGTTAATTGCTCATTTCTCAAATGAGCAAATAGTTAAATGCTGATTTGTCAAATGAGCAAATACTTAGTGCTAAAATGAACAACAAAACATAAAATGAACAAGTTATCAACTACTTTCAAAGTTGTGAAGAAGTTAGAGAACTTGTTTTTAAACTCAAATTCTTTCTCACTGATATCTACTTTACGACCTGATGTGCAACATAATGAAATAACTTCTAGGCTTCTGATGTGAAAAGTCGAACAGTAAAACGCCTTCAAACTATCAGCTTCTTGGCTTCTGATGTGAAAATCCGAACTAAGTACACGACGAAGTTGGTAGCTTTGTGGTGACGATAGTAATAACATTGCACAAGGAATTTTGATTGTGAGAATTTCTAAGACAAACAAAAGAGATGAGAGCCCTATACTCCCATCTTAAACTGTTTTTTTTTTCCTATTTGCTTTCACATACAAGTATTAACCTGTGACAGTTTTAGATGTATTGAAAATTACTTCCCAACATAATCTACAACTTTTTATTGCTTGTAATGTCAATTAAAAAGCTAATATTTCATAAATGAACAACAAAACATAAAATGAACAAGTTATCAACTAATCTACAAGAACTCCCATACAAGTAATACAACTCATCAACTAATCTACAACAACAACAAAAATAATAATAACTCAAATAATAAAAATAAAATGAGCAGAAACACATACTTGTATTTTCTTGAGAAACATTTGCAGAATCCATAGCAATTACTTCTAGGTTTCCAAAAAAAACAAAGAAAATGTAAGATAATTACTCATATGAAGCAAAATTAAAACTAAAATCAACTAATAAATACTCAAATAAAGCTATAATCAAACAAAAAATAAGATAAAACCAGAAAATAAAACATAATTGAGAACTAAAGTAAACCAAAATCAAATTAAAATACACAAAATAATTAAAATACCTAAAATCAAGCTAAAATCAACATAATAGCACAAATTATCAGTGATTTTTAGGTTTCCAAAAAAACTGGACAATAACGAAAATAAGCAAAATCAACTTGATAACTACTCAAAAAAACGAAAATAAAGCTAAAATCAATGAAAAAACAAAGTAAAACATTATCGACACAAATTGATAAATAATGTGAGCTGAAATCAGCGAAAATCAAAACGAAAATCAACAAATGTAACTGAATGTGACCTAAAATTAATTGAAAAACACGAAAATATAAACAATAAACTCACCTTGACAAAGATTGATGAAGATTGAAGGAGTAGTGATGAAAAATCAGAGAGAATAGCAGAGAGAAAGAGAGTAGAAAATAGAGAAATTGTGAGGAGAGAGAAAATAGCGCGTGAAAGAGGAAGGAGGAGAGAGAAAAAACGCAGGAGTTTTGTTTGACCGGGATTTAATTGTGGCCTTTGGATGTAATTGATCCAACGGTTATAATTATTCCTCACATATAATAGGGTTCTCACATAAGGGATGTGGTCTCATATAATCTCATTTCTATATATATATATATATATATATATATATATATATAATGACTTACAGTTCTATTTAGGCTAATATAATAGAATTCATTGATATTATTTTTTCAATTTAAATTATTTTACTGATCAAGGCTGATATATATTATGGCGAAAGTTGTAATAACAAGATCATTTATTGCTGTTTTGATATTTTTTTGAGGGAATATTGCTGTTTTGATATGATACTACGTACTTTGAATTATTATTTTCCTTGGCTATTTAAATTTATTTATGTATAATTTTTATTTTATACTCCCCCTTTTTAAAATACTTGCTCTATTTCTCTATGCGCGGAGTTTTAGGAAAAATTATAGAAAATAATAGAATATGGAGGTAGTGGGGTTGGTGGAAGAATTAAAAAATTTAAAAGACAAAAGTAGTGGAGAGAATTGGAGGAGAGAGAATACATGTTGGACCCACTAAGTGAGAGAAATTAATTAAATATTATAAGAACTTTCCAAAAAAGGAAATAGAGTAAGTATTTAAAAACGGTCGTAAATGAAAAGTGGAGCAAATATTTAAAAACGGAGGGATTACATATTTCTTATTGGAAAGAATCATTTTCCTTACCTTTGTACATGTATTTACTTTATCTAGAAAATCCAATGAAGTACTTGCAAAACCAAAAATAGATCTTTTCACATTAAAAGATTTTATAAACATAAAAATTAAAAAAGGACCACACACTGATATTTTCTAGAGCAAGCATGGTATTTTCTTGTCTTCAGTACTCAAACACTTCAAAAAAAAAAATATGTTCATCAACAACAACAAATAAAGAACAATTTTTTCCCTCCTAAACCCATATTCTTTAACGTACGATTATTATTTAAAATCATTTTAACAAATAAAAACATACCATAATAAAGATTCCTAAGATCCAAAATATAATATTCTAAAGTAGTCTAACATTCCAACCTACCCTTAATTAATTACACAAACTTTACCTTGAGGAAAAGAAGATACCTAAACCTTCCCTGCCAATTAAGAGCAGGAACCTCTCATACCTCAACCTTCTTCCTCCTTCCCAAAACATTACTAACATCATCACACAACCATCCCTACATAACTAAATCGCGACGTCGCCTAACATCTCTTCTTTTCTTATAAACGTTGGCTTAATGCCGAACGTTACCAAATTTCCCACCATTCATTTCTCAACCGCCATTCTTTGTCATCAATGCCTTATCACGGCCACGGCCACATCCACCACCACAACCAACGCCGCACCCACCCGTTGATATGGTGTGCAGCCATAATCTGCACCTTTTGCACGGTCATTGTTATTATTTTGGGCATTGTTGTGTTCGTAGGGTACCTTGCCCTACATCCAAGTATACCCTTTGTTAAAGTTACGTATGCACACCTAGATAAATTCGAGTATAGTCAAGCCGGTGTCCTTAACACCGAGATGAACATAGTTTTTCAGGCCGAAAATGATAATACTGGAGCACACGCTAGCTTTTCGGATTTTACGTACTACCTCAACTTCCATGGTATACAAATTGCTAGGTTGAAAAATCTACCATTCAACGTAGACAAGAATGATAGCGCGATTTTTAACTATGATGTTAAATCGTATTCAATACCATTGGATCCACAACTCTCGGCTATAGTAGATCGATCGTTGAAGCAAAATAGAATTTCATTTGATTTAATGGGATATACAAGAACAAGATGGAGGGTTGGACCGATTAAATCGGTCAAATTCTGGTTGCGTTTGAGTTGTGAGCTCAAATTTCAGGGTGATGGGAGTTATACTGCGGATTCTCATTGTAACTCTAAATCAAAATAAAACAGGTGTATTTTTTTTTTTTTTCTTAGTTTATTCTTTGAAAATTTGTAAACAAAAAATACAAAAATTTTAAAGTAGGTTGATATAAATTAATTAATGGGTATACTTTTGTGTATACATTTCTTTTCTTAATTTGTTCCATTTTAGAATATATGTTACGTTGCTTAATAGCTTAGCACTTTTTTTTTTCTTTTAATATTTGAAAATGCTCCTCAATTTTATTTATTTATTACTTATTTTTACATTTCTAGGAGTTATTAGGAGAGGAACAGTGAAAGATTGAAAGTAGATTGTCTTTGCCTTTAAATTTTACATTTTTCATTTTTAATAAAGTGATAAAAAGTTCAATATGTAAGAAGAAAACCAAGCCATATTTACCGCTTGACAATTTGAATTCTATTTATGGAGTTTGTGTTCGCTAGTTAAACACTTCATTTAGTTCCACAATTAGCTTTCTTTGTTAATAAGAATATTCAATTGTAGCAAAGTAATAGTGGTACACATATCAAATTGATATATATTTTTAAGTTAAAGTTTTTTAATGTGTTTAGTTTGAGAACTCGAATGGTTAAATAAAAGGTTTCAAATAAATCATGACAAAGTTGCGTGCGAGTACTTTCAATCCTTTTAATTTCTCCTTTTAATTTTTTGAATCAATATTTTTGCATGCTTTTATCCTTAGTGCGGCTACCTTTCTTTTTTAATAAACGGGTAACTTTTATTGACACATCACCATTATTACATACAAAATGGCCCCATATTTTTTGTAAGGTATTTTAAATTCAAAATTTGTGTTCTTTTATTTATTTATTTATTTATTACCAAGTCCTCTAAAAATAACAACTAACAAGTTGATTCAACATTTCTTTTAAGGAAAATCATCAAAGGGTTTATATTAATAAATTATTTAAAGCAACATTCAAAATGCAAGTAGGGATTACATTATTCTCCATTGTTTGACCGACCTCTCAAGATTGAAAGTGAGCCAAATTGTATGCTAATCTATTCCCACTACTTGATAAAAGACTACGACACACTGCTAAAACTGGAACATAAAGCTAGAATAAAGTGGAAGGAATTGGACTCGTTCGACTGGCCTCTGAAATAACAAGATGATGTTAACTTTTTTTTTGTTGGCTATTAAAAAATTAAATTATATTCAAAATATCTATACTTATATACGAGTACTTTATCTATAATATTATCAAAACTTAAGGAATTTTCAACTTTTCATTACCACTTTTATTCTATGAATCACGTTGAAAGATTAGAGAAAGAGGATTCAAAAACGGTTTCTCTCTCCTCCCTTAAATCCTCTCTTCCCTCTCCTCATGTTTCAAGTTCTCCCTTTTAAACCCTAGGAGCTCGCCGGAGTTCCGACGTCGCGGCCGTACTTCGGCGGCGCCGGAACTCTGGCGAGCCTCCTCATCTTCTTTCTTATTTTTCTGCTTCTCTTCTCCTTTCCTTTCTATTTTTCCTTCCAGTCTTTTCATCTTTCTCACACTCGGAATACCTAAAGTTATCATTACCTTCTTTATTGAGGATTTTTAATCCCTTTTGAGGTGTTTGTGTGAGCCTATCCTAGTTATAGAAGGTTTCGAGGGAGGTTTCAGATCGTCTCCGGCGCCGTTTCCCACCTTTGCGAGGGAAGGTTAGTGTTTGTTCAAAGGATCTCTCCGCCGGAGAAACAAGGCCTAAGGACTAGGCCTAACGCCGCCATCATCGGTCATCGGTAATTTTGACTGTGACGGAATCGGTAAAGTTAGGGTTAGGGTTTCGTAGGTCCTTGCGCTAGAGGGCTAGGCCTAACGCCGCTATCAAGAGAAGTTCATGACGGAAATAGTGAAGTTAGGGCTAGCTTTTCGAGGTTTCTTGTGTTCGTGGTCTCGGGGTTTTCGGTTTTGGCGGTGCTCTCCTCTGGTTTGTTCTCTTTTCTAAGTATGTTTTTTCTTGGTAATTATTAGAGTTTACTTGTCTTAGTTTGTTTTATGGTATTTTTTAGCCTCCTTTGGTTGTTTTTAGGGCTATTAATTTGTTTTGGCTATAGTATTTTGGATGGTTGTGTGCAGAGGGAGTTAAGATCCTTTGTAAAGGATTGTGGTGTGGTTATAGTGATAAGAGAGGTTACAGGTGTAGCCGTTGGGGGTTTGAACAAGAAGTTGGCCTTGGCTAAGGTGAAGTGTGTATTTTGTTGAAGTGGTATTGGTTTGGTTTTTTTTCCTTCGGTTGTAATTCTTGTGATCATTACTCTTGAAATTTGTTATTTGATCTGACGCAGGCGCCCAAACTTTATTTAAAGGGTTTCTCGAGCCTCGACGTTGTCAAAGCTTTCTTGCCAACAAGGAAAACTATTGATTGGAAGGTCACTAGTTTAAGTGACCCGTTTGAAGACCTTACTTGGTGATGAGTTAATCCCGCTAGGTAAGGAAAAACTAGCCGTGGTCAAACAATTTCTGTTCTCTCCGTTGCTCTCTTTATGGTGTGTAGTATGTTTTTGATCCTTGGTCTGTAAGGAGTCCCTTATCTGCGATAGGTCCGATCAATTCAAGTTTAATTTTGTTTTTAATGTCAAAAGTTGGTGTAAACTTTGATTTTATAAATACATTTGCTAGTGTAAAAAAATAATGTTATACACCATGAATAAAAGGACAAATTGTAAATAATAATCCCAACTTTGTTCCATTTTCTTTTAATAATCCCAACTTTCGATTATTCTAAAATAATCCAAACTTTGGGGGTTGTTTGCTTTCTTCAATCCCAATTACCAATTACCTATTGAAAAGGTTAATTTCCTTTATTTAAATAAATGCCACTTGTCAAGAGTTAATTAGCTAAAAATATATATTTGAATTTTTTTTTAAAAAAAATTAGAAAACCTGCCTCACCCCTTCCCTGAGCACCTCTACCCCACCACCCATCGAAACTCCATCCACCCTAACCCCGACCCCTTCGCACTGGAAAACCCACAAACCTCCTCCCGCGCGCCGGCCATCCACCCTTCTTCCCGTTACCAATCCCCCTTTCCTCCTTGAACCACCACCCTCAAATTTCCCCTAAAACCTCGTCACCTTCCTTAGAAAACTCGTCGGAGAATGCTTAACACCGTAGACGCTAAGCAACACCCACCACAATTTGGCCCCCAATTAGCGAACCTTCCGTTACAGATCCTTTCCGCCCGACGCTCATTCTTCTTCTGCTACGGCTTTTATCACAGATGAAGGCATCGAGATCTAGGTTTACTCTAAGGAGATTACCAAACTGAAGGGGAAAAGGTCTCGACGGTTTGTAGGGGAAATTTAGGGTGGTACGGTGACGCTAGGGGTGGGGGAGGCACAGCGTGCCGACGAGAGCAGTGGCATGCTAGGCGGCTGGGCAGTGGTTGGAGGTTAGGGGAAGTTACATGGTGTTTTGTGTTTTTTGTTTTGTTTTGTTTTGTAAAAAAAAAAATTCAGACCAGTTAGGTATAATAGGTCATTGATTTTTGTTGACCGGTTTGGTATTGAAGAAAGTAAACAACCCCCAAAGTTGGGATTATTGTAGAATAATCAAAAGTTGGGATTATTAAAAGAAAATAAAGCAAAGTTGGGATTATTATTTACAAATTTTCCTGAATAAAATTCATAGTTACTCTATTAAATTTATTGTTTATATTCCATATTTAATGTCACTTTATTACTTAATTAACATTCATGAGCTGTAACTTTTCATTAAGAAATCTAAAAGTTTTTAAGCATTCTTATTGTAAACAGATACTACTCCATCTGATCTCTCTTTCTATCCCCAACTAATTATGCCGTTTTTATTTTATTATTTTATCTTAAGATAATAGTTCCAAGATATTATTTACATTCAAGGTAATTTTTCATTTTATATATAAACATAATCCGGGGCATCATCCGGGCCTCAAACTAGTTAGTATATAATAACACAAACCACAAATGACATTAATCCGACTACTTCTTTTTCTCCATTGTTTTTACTATTTAAAAAAATAACCTTATTACTAATTCACTATATATGTATTTAATGTTTACTTCATATCCCCTAAAGCTGGAATTTGTGTTGTGCCATCTCAGGCTAGAGGACGAGTGGGTCATGTCGGGCTTGGGTGATGTCAGGTCGTGTCGTGTCGAGGCGTCAAATTGCACACTCTAGCCCATGGTACGAAATGACCCACATGCTTGGTGGGCCGTGGGCCAACCCTTAATTTTGGCAGCAAATCCCTATGAAAAACTCAAAATTCGATCTAAAATGAAGCATTAAACAGGGAGAAATTGAAGGTTGAATTCATAGATGTACAACATATAGAGAGAATCTAGCTAAACTGTGAGGAAGGAGGAGTAAGAGTAGGAGAGAAATTAAAGAGAAGAAGAGTACCTTATCGTCAACCATGAAAGCTATGAAAGAGCTGAGGAGGGAGGAGAGATAAAGAGAGAAGAGTTAAGAAAGCATGGAAAAACGGAGTTTAAGGTGACAGAAGGAGGAGAGAGAAAGAAAAGGGGAAGACCCTAGTTACGACAATACCCATGTAGTTATAGCTCTAATCTTGCCATTCCCCCTTCCTTTTTTTTTCCTTTTCTTTAGGAAATTATTATAGCTCTTGCCTGACCATGTCGTGGGTCGTGCTGGTGGACCAAAGTATCGTGCCACTAGTGGGCTCGTGCCAATTTTTTAGAATTTTGTTCACGGCTCACCCCTCATTCCTCGTGCTGTGCTAAGTCACTAGTATGTCGTTCCCGTGCCATTCGCGGGCCAACCTGGTCTATGCCCAACTTTATTCCCCGACTTAATACAAAAACTATTTATGGGTGCATTTTAATTGTCACTTCTTCTTATTCCTTTTAAACCTTAGCTTGTCTGGAAATTGGCTGTTAGATGTTGGCTATTTAATTTAGCTTGTTTGACTGACTGTTAGTATTGCTGTTTGTAGTTGCTGTTTGACTATTTGTTGTATGTAAATATGTTTGGTAAATTCAGCTGTTAGATATTGGCTGTAACTATGCAAAATGACCTTATAAGACATTATTATGCGTTCTTATTTATTTTTTATTAGTATTATAAAGTAATAATTACTAGTTACTAATTATTAATTACTAAGTTTGGTTCGCACAGGGTAAACATAATGGAATTTAAAAAGGGAAAGAAAGAAAATGAAATGATAATACCTCAAATTTAGTATGTTAGTTGTTTGTTTAATAAACAAAGAGAAACAAACCGACAGTCGCACCACCACATAATAACCTATCTCCTTCACTTCACACCTTTTTCAGCCACTACCAAGCCACCCTACCATTTGTCCGCACCAAACGCAGGCCACCACTCGCCGCTGTTTGGCAACTTTCCCCGTCCCTCGCCATCAGCGTAAAACTCTCCCCTCCCTCGAAAAACTTCACCCAGCCCCATAAAACCACAGAAACCACTTATTTCTCGCCGTAAAAATGTTGTCCGCCCATCCTCCTGAAGGATTTATGTCTTCGTCAAGTGCAATTACTAGTTATATCAAGG